TTGCACAGTACACACCCTAAAGGAAGAACAAACCCTTACATAGCATACATTTGATGATCACTGAAGCCATAGATCCCCGAGGGATTCCATTAAAACATTTGATTGTTAGCCAATTCTTATCTCTTTGTGCAGTTAGGCTAAATCACCCTCTTTCGCAAGGCCACGATGATGGTGCAAGTCAACTAATCCAGGGCATCTTTAGCAAGGATTTAGCAATAACTGCAAAGACATGAGCCTCATCCTCTGTGTGTATGTCTACTCATAGCCAGGTTGAGACACACTTACACTACATGACCAAAAGTATGTGGACACCTGCTCGTCTAACATCTCATTCCAAAATCATGGGCATTAATATGAAGTTGGTCCCCCCTTTGCTGCTATAACAGCCTCCACTCTTCTGAGAAGGCTTTCCACTAGATGTTGGAACATTGCTGCGGGGACTTGATTCCATTCAGCCACAAGAGCATTAGTGAGGTCGGGCACTGATGTTGGGCGATTAGGCCTGGCTCGCAGTCGGTGTTCCAATTCATACCAAAATTGTTCGATGGAGTTGAGATCAGGGCTATGTGCAGGCCAGTCAAGTTCTTCCACACCGATCTCAACAAACCATTTCTGTATGGACCTCGCTTTGTGCACTGGAGTATTGTCATGCTGAAACAGAAAAGGGCCTTCCCCAAACTGTTGCCACAAAGTTGGAAGCATCGTCTAGAATATCATTGTATGCTGTAGCTTTAAGATTTCCCTTCACTGGAACTAAGGGGCCTAGCCCGAACCATGAAAAACAGCCCCAAACCATTATTCCTCCAACACCAAACTTTACAGTTGGCACTATGCATTCGGGCAGGTAACGTTCTCCTGGCATCCCCCAAAGCAACAGTCGTCCGTTGGACTGCCAGATGGTGAAGCGTGATTCATCACAGAGAACGCGTTTCCACTGCTCCAGAGTCCAATGGCGGCAAGCTTTACACCACTCCAGCTGACGCTTGGCATTGCGCATGGTGATCTTAGGCTTGTGTGCGGCTGCTCGGCCATGGAAACCCATTTGATGAAGCTCTCGACGAACAGTTCTTGAACTGACTTTGCTTCCAGAGGCAGTTTGGAACTTGGTAGTGAGTGTTGCAACCGAGGACAGACTATTTTTACGCTATATGCGCTTCAGCACTCGTCGGTCCCGTTCTGTGTGCTTGTGCGGCCTACAAATTCGCAGCTGAGCTGTTGTTGCTCCTAGATGTTTCCACTTCACAGAAACAGCATTTATAGTTGACTGGGGCAGCTCTAGCAGGGCAGAAATTTGACGAACTGACTTGTTGGAAAGGTGGCATCCTATGACTGTGCTACGTTGAAAGTCACTGAGCTCTTCAATAAGGCCAATCTATTGCCAATGTTTGTCTATGGATATTGCATGGCTGTGTGCTTGATTTTATACACCTGTCAGCATCTGGTGTGGCAAAATAGCCGAATCCACTAATTTGAAGGGGTGTCCACATACTTTTGTAAATATAGTGTAGCATACCTTTTCAGAAAGGAGCCAGTCAGTCAGTCAGCCAGCCAGTAACACAGCAGGTCAGTAACCCAGCCAGTAACCCAGCAGGTCAGTAACCCAGCCAGTCAGTAACCCAGCCAGTAACCCAGCAGGTCAGTCAGCCAGCCAGTAACCCAGCAGGTGTCAGTCAGCCAGTCAGTCAGCCAGTCAGTAACCCAGCAGGTCAGTCAGCCAGTCAGTCAGTCAGCCAGCCAGCCAGTAACCCAGCAGGTCAGTCAGCCAGTCAGTCAGTCAGCCAGCCAGCCAGAAACCCAGCAGGTCAGTCAGCCAGTCAGTAACCCAGCAGGTGTCAGTCAGCCAGCCAGTAACCCAGTAGGTCAGTAACCCAGCCAGTAACCCAGCAGGTCAGTCAGACAGTCAGTAACCCAGCAGGTGTCAGCCAGCCAGTCAGTCAGCCAGCCAGTAACCCAGCCAGTAACCCAGCAGGTCAGTAAGCCAGTCAGTAACCCAGCAGGTGTCAGCCAGCCAGCCAGTAACCCAGCCAGTAACCCAGCAGGTCAGTAAGCCAGTCAGTAACCCAGCAGGTGTCAGCCAGCCAGCCAGTAACCCAGTCAGTAACCCAGCAGGTGTCAGCCAGCCAGTCAGTCAGCCAGTCAGTAACCCAGCAGGTGTCAGCCAGCCAGCCAGTAACCCAGCCAGTAACCCAGCAGGTCAGTAAGCCAGTCAGTAACCCAGCAGGTGTCAGTCAGCCAGTCAGTCAGCCAGTCAGTAACCCAGCAGGTGTCAGCCAGCCAGTCAGTAAGCCAGTCAGTAACCCAGCAGGTGTCAGTCAGCCAGTCAGTCAGCCAGTCAGTAACCCAGCAGGTGTCAGCCAGCCAGCCAGTAACCCAGCCAGTAACCCAGCAGGTCAGTAAGCCAGTCAGTAACCCAGCAGGTGTCAGCCAGCCAGCCAGTAACCCAGTCAGTAACCCAGCAGGTGTCAGCCAGCCAGTCAGTAAGCCAGTCAGTAACCCAGCAGGTGTCAGCCAGCCAGTCAGTCAGCCAGTCAGTAACCCAGCAGGTGTCAGCCAGCCAGCCAGTAACCCAGCCAGTAACCCAGCAGGTCAGTAAGCCAGTCAGTAACCCAGCAGGTGTCAGTCAGCCAGTCAGTCAGCCAGTCAGTAACCCAGCAGGTGTCAGCCAGCCAGTCAGTAAGCCAGTCAGTAACCCAGCAGGTGTCAGTCAGCCAGTCAGTCAGCCAGTCAGTAACCCAGCAGGTGTCAGTCAGCCAGTCAGTCAGCCAGTCAGTAACCCAGCAGGTGTCAGCCAGCCAGTCAGTCAGTCAGCCAGCCAGTAACCCAGCAGGTCAGTCAGCCAGTCAGTGAGTCTAACTAAAATATGATCCTGTATTAAGGCTCTTTCCCCCAACAGTACCGCAGTAGGGCTGGGTCTTCAGCCAATCAGTCTCCAACATCACCAGTCTCCAATCAAGGCTTCTCACCTGGCGGCTCGCCTCAAGTAAGGGCGTGTGAGCAAAACCCGCTGACAGTGTGTGTGTGTATATATATATATATATACACACTGTTCCTCCATTGTAGTTCTGTTTTCGTCGCCAGCTGGGCCCCTTGGCTGCCCCTTCCGGCTGCTCTTGTGTCACCAACCCCCTGCCACCCCCATCGTCGTGTCTCGCAGTGTCACTGACCCCTTCCCCCTTGCTGCTTCTCTGTGTCTGCATCCTAAGTGGCCTCGTAGCATAGCCACTAAAATGACACACGTTAGCCAGTTGGTTGAGGAAGGAAAATGTACTTGGTAGTTAACATCTAGCCACCTGAGCTGACTTTTAGCCTTGCTAGAGTTTTGAATCCCTTGTGTATTGTGAAGAAACAGGGTCCCTCAACAAGGCCCTGTAGGCTAGATGTACGTTGTAAGTTTGATGTAAATTTATAATATAAACAAACTAATTGAACTGAACATAACATTGAACGACTAAGTCATCTCCTGTTAGAGGAGTCCTAAAAGCTCCCACCCAGTATCCAGGCTACTAGCTACATGGGTATGTTTGTTCATCCGTTTGTGCTTTCTCTCACCTAGACGGCTAACCTACAGTGTTGTAGGTTACATGCAGTGCGGCAGACAGTCCATGTTCTGTTATCATGCCCTTCACCGGTGTTCTTTTGGCAGGGCACAGATAATGTGGTTCTGAACTGAAAGAGGCATGGGGAAGGCTGCCTTACTGAGTCTCTGTCAATATAATCCAATGATTTATACATTAAGGCGGACGATGAAAGCGGAACATTTTCGGCTTTTTATAAGAATATTAAATTAAAACTTCAAGAGCATTACTGGATGATTGAATGTTTTTGAAATTCTAACTTTACCCACAAAAGGAATTTCCATATTTCATTCTATTTCATTATGTTATTTTATCTAAGATATTAAGAATTCTTAGTACAAGACATGCATGGTAACCAACTCCCTACAACATTGTTGGTTGTGGGTTGATGACATTTATAAAGTGCTTTTGAGTAGTATTCAGTGCATGTTGACATATTGGCTGGTTGGGCACTTAACATCAACATCCGAGGAACAAGAGGTAAATGCAGTTGATCTGATCATCTGTCGAATCATCTTTAAAGGTGAGATGGGCAGGTTACTATGATGACTTAATTAATCAACTAATGGATGAGATTGAGGTTGATTGCACAGCAAATTCATTGATGAGCTTGCGAAACTTGATTCCTGCTGTGTTTGTACTGTGTCATGCTTTAACTATTGTCTAGGAAGCAGTATGTTGTTTGTTTTCAGGATTGCAGATGTGTGCGGTGATTTCTGTGTTGCCTGGAGCTGAATGGAAAGCAAAACCCAATCGTTTGATGTGAATGTCTTATGAATTGTGACATAGTTCAGTTAGTTGTGGTGTGATTGTGCACTCTATCTGCTCTTCCTCTCCTGTGTTTTATACCTGTACATTAATATCATGGTATTGTTTTTAACAAGGGGATATGCTTGTGTTCTAGCACCACTCCATATTGGGCAGTGTGTTTGCGGACTTCTATGACCAGCAACTCACTTCCAGACAGACCAGTGCTCTCTCCCAACAGGTAAGTAAGGTTTAACATCCTACCTCAGGACTAATTATGCAAGCTAATATTAGATACTTTTCGTATGGCAATATTTGCCAATATCTTGGTATCGAAGCACAATATATTAATACAGGGTTTCCCAAACTCGGTCCTCGGGACACCAAGGGGTGCATGTTCAGGTATTTGCCCTAGCACTACAAAGCTGATTTAAATAATAAACTCATCATTAAGCTAAACGTGCACCCATTGGGGTCCCGAGGACCGAGTTTGGGAAACCATGTATTAATAGGTTTCCATTTTTTACCATTGTACTGAATCTTTATATTGACCATTTGGCAACTGTTATTAGTAGAGAAATGAGCCCTTGTTGTTGAGTGTTGGCTAACCTCATGTTCTGTGTTGACTAACCTCATGTTCTGTTTTCTCTGTTCCTCGAACAGCTGGAGCAGTTCAACATGACAGACAACAGTCTGTATGGCCAGGGCTCCACCCTCAACTACTCCCAAGCAGCCATGATAGGTTTGATGGGTAGCCACGGCAACCTGCAAGACTCCCAGCAGCTGGGCTACAGTAGCCATGGCAACATCCCCAACATCATTCTCACAGGTACTATTCCGCCACACCAGGTGGCTCACTCAAGTCTCAGCAAGGCTAGGCAGAAGAATAGAGTTCACACAATGTAAACACTCTCTCAATACAAAGCTCTAACTCTTGTTATGTCTAGGGGTCCAAGGCACGCCTAGCTGTTCGATAAGCTGTCTGAATGTTTGCATTTAGCATGAAAGTGAGTGTAAGCAGACTGGTTGTCAGTGTATTCACCTAGGAAGAACGAGTACTTACCAGGGTCCAGGGTGAGCTCTGTCTTAGTCAGCCAGCCCAACCCATTTGTTCTTGTCGTGACAAATAATAATAAAAACAAATACAAAAAATACAAAAAGGCATGCCCAAACAAAAAAAGTATCGCACAAATGCGCGACCCTGCTGGGCTGAGAGGCTTCTTCTTCTTCTTCTTCTTCTTTAAAGTTTTATGGCAGACTACATATGTACGGGGTGTTCTTCTTTGATATTATTGCGGTCCGCAAACAAATGCTGTAGGTGCATGCCGCCACCTACTGTGTTGGCTGTATCAGCCCAAAACATTTACAAAATAAAAGTAAACAAAGTAAACAAAACTCAATGTACTCCTTTATTCAGATTCAACTGCCAACACCCATCCCTACAGGCTCTGGGGCCTGAGAAGAAAGAGCATCTTCAGACTGTATTCTTTGCAATGTTTCTGCGTTGAAGTCCTGGAAACCCAAAAACCTTTCAGCCGCAGATACTATTATGTCCAGTTTCTTGGAATTTTTGTTTGTTTGTGCAGTACAATTAATCACATGCGCGATAAACACCATAAAATCCACCTTCTTCACAATCAGCATATCCGTTTCCCTCAACTGTTGAACAACACTCTGAATCTCAAGATTCAGCGGAGAATCCACCACCATATCTTCAGCTCCCCTCGCTCCTTCAGCTATTTCACTTGCCTCCGGGTAGGAGACCTGCTGTATAGCTCTGACCCTTTGCCACTTCATACTCCTTTAACCTAACCGGGCACTCCGTGGAATTGGGAACGTGGTTTCCAGGCTGAGAGGCTATTCAATCCACCGCTCTTCTCACTAATCACCTGCCTATCACTTGCACCTGTGAGCAATTACTTATCAATCCCCTGCTGGGGGAAAGGCGTTCCAATGAATGGGTCTTAAGGTTATTATAGCTGATAGCTGGTGGTGGTGGTGGGGAGGTGGATGATTGTCGAAAACAGTTGCTGAGAAACAGCAAGTGAGAGTACATGGGTAAATTGACATACATCCCAAGATGTATGCCCATTGGTTGAGAGAGAGGAAGGTGATAATTGCAAGAGTGAGCACATAGGTTGAACAGCAAGCGTGAGGAATGTGCATTATTGTGCCGTGTTTATAGGCTATAGGAAATAGGAGAATGACACACCGCACGTGGCTAACAGGAAAGAGGAGGAGAAACAACACACTATGCTGATGATGATACGTTTGTATTCATTCCCACTATGCCCGTAGAATAGGACAGTAAGTGAATTATGTTATGCATACTGGATGAAGTTAAACGAGCATTCAGACCAGCCTTCCTGATTTGAACTTTCGTAAACTACATTTATTAAATGCTCCTTGAAATATTTAATGAGACGCTATTCTTTATGTGGTGTAAACGCTGGAAGACCCTGACCACTCCTCATCTCTCTTTACCGGTGTATGTTTTAGCCACTGGAGAGTCACCACCCAGACCTTCCAAGGGTTTGTCTTACAGCTCTCTGTCGGCTGACATCAGCTTCGACGCAGACTCTCAGTTTCCCCTGGACGAGCTGAAGATCGACCCGCTGACCCTAGATGGGCTGTACATGCTCAACGATCCTGACATGGACCTCACTGACCCCGCCACAGAAGACGCCTTTCGGATGGACCGGCTGTAGAGTCGCTGCCAAGTTGACCGACTGTGTCAGAGGAACCCGGCCTGAGGGGAGAGGGATATTTCGGGGGTGTTGGGAGCTCGTGGCGAGGCCCCAGCTGTGCAGTGTATTCATCCCACACTCCCACCTCCCTTCACCAGCCGCCCCTTTCTAAGAGCTATGGTAAGATAAGCTAAATGGTCGACAGTTTGCTTTCTCCACTCCGTATGGAAAAGATGAAAGGGCGACGTTGTCATGTTTGGTGGATATTGCGCTTAAGGTTCTGCCTGTGACCAGTCTGTGCTAACCACATACATCCCTTAACTTGTTTATTTATTTATTTTATTACATGCCTCCTGATGGCCTTTCTGTTGGTTTTTGTAAAGAAAACAAAAAGTAGGGGATACAACACTACATTGGTCTGGCCTTCCATTTGAAGACATTAACTGATTTAAAATCATGTCTGCAGTGGAAACTGTTTTATCTTTCTCTCACCTGTCATACTAGATTAGCATGTCTTGCCTCATTATCACCCATCTGCTTTTTCACAACCGCCCTTCTCATGGCTCATAGTCCCGTGTAGCTCAGTTGGTAGAGCATGGCGCTTGCAACGCCAGGGTTGTGGGTTCGATTCCCGCGGGGGACCAGTATGAAAAAATTTATGCACTCACTAACTGTAAGTCGCTCTGGATAAGAGCATCTGCTAAATGACTAAAATGTAAATGTAAATGGCTAATCTTCAATGCACTTAACCACGCTGTCATTAACTCACACTATACAGTGCCTTCAGAAAGTATTCACACCCCTTTACTTTTTCCACATTTTGTTGTGTTGCGAAGTGGGATTCAAATGTCAACGATCTACACAAAATGCTTTAATGTCAGAGTGGAAGAAAAAATCTAACATTGTAATTTTTTTATGGAAAAGAAAACACCAATATATCTTGATTAGATAAGTATTCAACCCCCTGAGTCAATACATGTTAGAATCACCTTTGGCAGCAATTACAGCTGTGAGTCTTTCTGGGTAAGTCTAAGAGCTTTGCACACCTTGATTGTACAATATTTGCTCATAATTCTTAAAATAATTATTCAAACTCTGTCAAATTGGTTGTTGATCATTTGTACACAGCCATTTTCAAGTCTTGCCATAGCTTTTCAAGACAATTTATGTCAAAACTGTAACTAGGCCACTCAGAAACATTCAATGTCATCTTGGTAAGCAACTCCAGTTTATATTTGGCCTTCTGTTTTAGGTAATTGTCCTGCTGAAAGGTGAATCTGTCTGCCAGTGTCTGTTGGAAAGCAGACTGAACCAAGTTTTCCTCTAGGATTTTGCCTGTGCTTAGCTCTATTCTGTTTCCCTCCCCCTAAAAAACTCCCTAGTCCTTGCTTATGACAAGCATACCCATAACATGATGCAGCCACCACCATGCTTGAAATGATGAAGAGTGGTACTCGGTGATGTGTTGTGTTGGATTTGCCCCAAACATAACGCTTTGTATTCAGGACTAAAAGTTCATTGTTTGTAGTATTACTTTAATTCCTTGTTGCAAACAGGATGCATGTTTTGGAATATTTTTATTCTGTACAGGCTTCCCTCTTTTCACTCTGTCATTTATGTTAGTATTGTGGAGTAACTACAATGTTGTTGATCCATCCTCAGTTATCGCCTATCACAGCCATTAAACTCTGTAACTGTTTTAAAATCACCATTGGCCTCATGGTGAAATCCCTGAGCGGTTTCCTTCCTCTCCGGCAACTGAGTTAGGAAGGACGCCTGTATTTTTTTAGTGACTGGGTGTAGTGATACACCATCCGAAGTGTAAATAACAACTACACCATACTCAAAGGGATATTCAATGTCTGTTTCTATTTTATTTTTTACCCATCTACCAATAGGTGCCCTTATTTGCGAACCATTGGAAAACCTCCCTGGTCTTTGTGGTTGAATCTGTGCTTGAAATTCAATGCTCGACATGGGACCTTACAGATACAATGCATGACCAAAAGTATGTGGACACCTGCTCGTCGAACGTCTCATTCCAAAATCATGGGCATTAATATGGAGTTGGTCCCTCCGCTTTTGCTGCTATAACAGCCTCCACTCTTCTGGGAAGGCTTTCCACTAGATGTTGGAACATTGCTGCGGGGACTTGCTTCCATTCAGCCACAAGAGCATTAGTGATGTCGGGCAATGATGTTGGGCGATTAGGCCTGGCTCACAGTCGGCGTTCTAATTCATCCCAAAGGTGTTAGAAGGGGATGAGGTCAGGACTCTGAGGCCAGTCAAGTTCTTCCACACCGATCTCGACAAACCATTTCTGTATGGACCAGATTCATCACTCCAGAGAACGCGTTTCCACTGCTCCAGAGTCCAATGGCGGCGAGCTTTACACCACTCCAGCCGACGTTTGGCATTGCGCATGGTGATCTTAGGCTTGTGTGCAGCTGCTCGGCCATGGAAACCCATGGAACAGTTATTGTGCTGACGTTGCTTCCAAAGGCAGTTTGGAACTCGTAGTGAGTGTTGCAACCAAGGACAGACTATTTTTACACGCTGTGCGCTTCAACACTCGGTGGTCCCGTTCTGCAAGCTTGTGTGGCCTACCACTTCGTGGCTGAGCCATTGATGCTCCTAGACTTTTCAACTTCACAATAATAGCATTTACAGTTGACCGGGGCAGCTCTAGCAGGGAAGACATTTAACGAACTGACTTGTTGGAAAGGTGGCATCCTATGACTGTGCCACGTTGAAAGTCACTGAGCCTCTTCAAGGCCATTCTACTGCCAATGTTTGTCTATGGATATTGCATGGCTGTGTGCTCGATTGTATACGCTTGTCAGCAACGGGTGTGGCTGAAATAGCCGAATCCACTAATTTGAAGGGGTGTGGCTGAAATAGCCGAATCCACTAATTTGAAGGGGTGTCCACATACTTTTGTATATATAGTGTAATTGTATGTGTGGGGTACAGAGATGGTGTAGTCATTTAAAAATCATGTTAAACACTATTATTGCACACAGTGAGTCCATGCAACATATTATGTGACTTGTTAAGCACAATTTTACTCCTGAACTTATTTAGGCTTGCCATAACAAAAGGGTTAAATACTCAATGACTCAAGACATTTAAGCTTTTCATTTTTAATTAATTTGTAAGCATTTCTAAAAACATAATTCCACTTTGACATTATGGGGTATTGTGTGTAGATCAGTGATACACAATCAAAATGTAATCCACTTTAAATTCAGGCTTTAACAAAACAAAATGTGGAAAAAGTCGAGGGGTGCCAATACTTTCTGAAGGCACTGTAGTTGTATTTATTGGTGCAGTTTTTTTTCTCTGAAGTTGACCAGTATTTTACTTTTGGTTTCCTCCAAACTTGTCGTTGTAATTTCAGTCCATCAATTCTGTCAGCATTTCAGGGTTGGACATGTTTTAGTGCTGAAGGGTGTACTACAAAGTGGGTTCAATGAGCTAACTCGTCTAAATATTCAGAAATAACTTGTTATTTTTTGGAAAGATACATTTGAAATGGGCAAGGTCTAATTGACTCAACAACCAAAAACGCGTATCTAAGTTTAACTTTCTTAATGAACTTTCTGGTTGTTTGTCAAAGTTAGCTGGCAAACTCATTGATCCTGCTTTGTAGTATACCCCTCTGGTCAACAGTTAAGCGGTTTCCTTTGTTGAACAACTAGGAGTGCTAACCCTCCTCTTTAGCTTGTGATTGGCCACAGCAACCAAAGTAAGGTCTAAATTCCAGTTAAACAATCCTTGAAAAATCACTTACAACCCTGTTTGTAGAGTTGTCAAAAAAAGGGATGTCGTAGGGTCATTTTGGCAATTTATTCCTGAAATGACATTTAAGCTCTACTATGGTAGCTGGTTTTGAAATGAAATCTGAATGAATCACTGTGATAACCAAATTCTGCCTTAGAAGATGACATGATATGGAAAGCTATGATCTCAAATATCTCCATTCAAAAATGTTGGTAATCGTGCAACTTGTTGAGACTCTTAAGCAGTGAAGTGCAAACCTTTTATCAAGCACCACCCATTGTTTTCCAATGACCAACGCTGGACTCAAATTGGCTCTAGTGAGAATATGACCAAGTTGAACACAACTAAGGGAGGTGTATCACTGCTCATTTTGTTATCCACTGCTTTTCACTAGTTACCATTTTGCTTTTCATATTTATATTCACATTTTGTGAGGTGGTACTGTATTTCCCATGTCAGCCTAATTGAAATGGACAGATCGAGCCGAGGAATCACATTTCTGGTGCCCTAGAAGTTGTTACTTGTGAATTAGATGTTTCGCTCCCTGGTAATTTATGTTTTGTTTCCATTAGTTGTCTTTTCTAAATTGGATCTTGCTTATGATATCTATGCAAAACAAATTAAATTGATTGATTGAGGACTGAGCGTTATTAGCGATCTAATAGACATAACTAAGTACCTAAACTAAATTACCTTGTTGAATTGTACAGTACCATTTTGATTGCTTTTTCTCAGCAAAGAAAATGAGCATTTTGGCATGTTTAATTTGCTACTCTTTAATTTACATTTTACTTCATTTTCTACACTTCACGGAGGAGATTTCAAATGATATATTCTGCACGTTGGCTTTGGCAGAAACTGTAAAAAAGCATGACAAAAGACAAACGCTGCATATATTAGAAAATTGACCCCTTTGTGACTCCCATGGATGTGTCGGAGGTTGATTTTACTGCTAAAATGTGATTCTTTTCTGATGAAGATTCAACTGACTCTCTATTAGAACAGCATTGCTGCAACCGGAATGTATTTCATCACATCTTCATACAGTATTCTCAGAATATTGACACCTTCATATGAACCTCAGTAACTTCTAATCTTAGTGTTGGACCCCATTTTTTTTGACACCCTTACACCATACTGTAGGTGTTGCACTTCAAAAGGGACGTGAAATGTGATTTTGAGTTTGGTTCAGTGCTGTTAGTGTCTCGCATATTTAATATTTGTGTGTGTGTGTATAA